GTGGAGGAGTCATGCTCTAAGCATCTGCCACTTCTGCTGTGAGTTACTGCTCCCTGGGGACACAGGGTCAGGCGTCTCCCACCTCTGGAGGCCTGGGTCTGAGATCTCCTGACCTCTGAATCGCCCCTCCTCCTCCTGCATCCAGTGAACAGCGCACAGTAGGTGCCTTACACAGGTGTTGAATAGAGAGAATGGAGCCAGCCCGGGCAGAGGACACCTGGTCTCCTCGAGCACTCAGACACGCCAGGGAAGATGGCACAGCACCTGTGGGGACACACACCTGGCGGCGGCCCAGGGGTCTACACTGTCCTCTGCCGTCTCTGGCCAGGGCGGGCGGGCGTGTGGGAGGCCTTGTGGTGACCTCTCACTGTCCTTCCCCGCCCGTCCTTCCCCGCCCCAGCCCGGGCTGAGGGCCTGTTGGATGCTGCCTCTGGCTTTGGCCCTGCTTGTCTTCCAGCCCAGACAGAGAAGGAAGGCGGGTCCCCAACCAGGGGTGCGGCATGGGAGGAGGTGGACCTGGCCCCCGTTCAGCATCTTGTTACCCTCACTCAGAAAAGCGATGCTGTCGTGGGCGTTAGCAGCCGTGGTGCCGATGCCCATTTTGTTCTGAGGCTCTCTCTGCGTGGGGAATCGTGTAGCACTTTCTGTAGAATTTTGCATCTTTATAACAACCCTGCCAGGCAGGTATTGTCAGCCCCATTTTACAGTTGAGGAGATTGATACTGGAGGAGTTGCTCATTTTCCAGGTCCCTCAGCCAAAAGGATGTGGCCTCCAGGCTCCTGACTGCAGAGGCTGCTCCTTTTCGTAGGGCAGACACCTCGGCCGATACCAGCTGTCCGCAGGGGGGCTCTGAGGGGTGGGCCGGCAGGGTCTGCAGAGCAGAGCTGGTCAAAACGTTTCCAGGACAAGTCCAGAGTGCGGGCTGCCCTTGCCTCATGGCCTCCCCCAGGTAAACCTGAAGAATGCCCCTGCTGCCTCCTTGCAGGCCAAGGGCAGGGGGAGGCGGGGGGCGGAGAAGAGCAAAGGAGATCTTCAAAAGAGGAGAGGCCTCCTGGAGGAGAGGCCCCAAACGCAGGCTCACAGGGGCCACAGGACCAGGAGAGCTGCCCGTTTCCTGCCCTGCCAGGTGGCATCTGCTGCTCCATCCCTGGAGCTGGGCTCTGGGGGTTGCGCTGCTGGCCGCGCCAGTACCCCCAAGCCTGGGGCAGGGGTCTCCACTGCATGCAGGTAGGGGACTCAGGCTTCCAGCTGCCTGCACGCCTGTGGTGTTTCTAGAGGGGAGCCGTGGCTCCCTGCAGAAGGAGGTGACAGGGGCTGGGTACTATGAGGAGTCCTGGCCCCTTCCAGACCTCATGAGCCAGAAAGCTGTTGTTGGACATTGTTGCTATAAAAATTATGCTTCGTGAGCACCTCCATAGCTGATCTCTCACACATCGGATTATTTCCGTAGAATAAACGCCTAGAAGAGGAATTTCTAATTAAGGATTACAAACATTTCATGCTAAGCTATCCTTCAGAAACATTGGGCAGGACTCCAAGGAGGGGTCATTTGGGGATGCTGGCCGTTTTATTTTGGGAACATAGATGAGTGGGCTACTGTGGGGGAGGCCTGAGCTATCACATGGCACCAGGAAGCAACGGGTGACTTTGGGGTGGGAGGAGGTGATGGGGGTGGCAAAATTCGAGGGTGCTGCTGGGACTTGCAGGAGGCAGAGACAGCCCCCCAGTTAGCCTGAGGTGGTACTGGCCCTGTGTCTGTCCGGGGCTGGTGCTGGTGGCACGCCCAGTGTGCCCACGGCTGTGATGGCATCAGCAAATTCCTGTTAGCTGTAGATTTTGTGATTGGAATTAATTCCGTCCTCACATTCACTGATAATCTCGTTGGTAGGTGTTTTAGGCTTAAAGGACCCAGAGAAAGTGGGACCCTGGAAAGAAGGTGAGGCCTGAGGAGGGCAGCTGTGGGGCTGCACGGTCCTGGGTTTGAGTCCTGACTCGGCCACATGGGTTTTGGGCATGGCACCGAGTCTCCCTGACCTCAGGGTCTTGAAAACCGGGGCGAGGATTAACATCTTCTCCCAGCACCTACTGGTGTTGAGAGCGCTGCCCCGCGCTGGGTGGGCATTTAGGAGGGGGGAGTGGGGATGCCATGGACGGAGTGGTGCCTCAGGTCCTTCTCCAGAAGAGACAGGATGCGGAGGGCAACATCACAGCCAGGCTCAGGCATGAGATGGATGGTCTGCTCAGGCCACTGAAACTCTGATGTAAAGGCGCTGACAAATACGGACAGGGAAGGCAGTGCAGCTGAAGCCACAGGGACTGGGGCTCTCGACCTGTCTGCACCTTAGAATCACCTGGGAGCCTCAAAAACCCCAACGACCTGGCCCTACCCCAGACCAACTGCATCAGGATCTCTGGGGTGGGCGAGGGGTGGGGTGGGACCAGGCTTTCTTTCTTTGTGTGGGATAAAATACACATAACAAACTTTACCATCTTAACAATTTTTTTTTTTTGGTGAGGAAGATTCGCCCTGAGCTAACATCCATGCCCATCTTCCTCTATTTTGTACGTGGGATGCTACCACAGCATGGCTTGATGAGCGGTGTGTAGGTCTGCGCCTGGGATCCAAACTTGCAAACCCCAGGCCGCAGAAGCACAGTGCATGAACTTAACCACTATGCCACCAGGCTGGCCCCATCGATCTTAATCATCTTTAAGTGTACAGTTCAGTAGTGTTAAGTACATTCACATTGTTGTGCAACCAACCTCCAGAACATTTTCATTTTTCTCAACTGAAACTCCATGTTCAATTAACACTAACTCCCCATATCCCGCTCCCCAGCCTCTGATAACCCCCACTCTTCTTTCTGTCTCTATGAATCTGACTACTTTAGGTAGCTTCTAGGAATGGAATCACGCAGTATTTGTCCTTCTGTGACAGGCTTATTTCACTGAGCATAGTGTCCTCAAGGTTCATCCCTGTTGTAGCCTGGGTCAGGATCTCCTTCCTCCTTAAGGTTGAATACTATTCCAGTGCATGGTTTATTCCTTCATCCACTGATGGACCCTTGGGTTGTTCCCAGGTTTCCATGTCTTTAAAGCTCCCAGGTCTCCCTGATGTGCAGCTCTGGTGGAGGCCAGTGGGCTGGGTGTCCCTGGCTCTCTGCAGGGCAGCACCATGGGCGTCACCGCCATCCCTCCTGCCCGTGGCGCTCTCCGCCGTTATCAAGTCCAAACAGCGCTGCAGGGAGCCCCCTTCCCCCAGCAAACACCCTTGCAGGGCCTGCCGGTTCTGTAGCCCGGGTGGGGCCACCCACTGCATCTGGGCCAGCCTCAGCATGGGCATTGGAGAGCTCCTCCTGTGGATGTCAGTTTCCCTCTACGTGGGTCCCCTTACTCCAGCCTGGTCCTGCTATTACAACACAAGACGGGCCACCGGGTCACATGCACGATTGCTGGGGGGCTCCAGACTCACACTCATCAGTCCCCTGCTGTATCTCCTCTAAACTTGGAACCAGCTGTTCACCTGTCCCTCAGTACCCCCTCCATGCCCACCCACGGAGGCCCTCCTCCTCCTACAGAAGCCTTCTCTCTAACTCAGTGGGGAGCATGGAAGGAGCAAAGAGAATCCATGCTTAAGAACCAAAACCCCATACATACGGTTTGACAACGTTTCAGTAAGCGAGCGTGCAGGAAAAGTTATTCTTTTGTTCACTAATTTATTCAATAAACACTTTTGTGTCAGGCACTGGGCTATAATGTGATACTGACATGATCCCTGCCTTCGTGGAAGGCGTTTTGGGGGAGCATTCATCTAATGCCACATTAATATATGCCCAGCCCTGCGGTGTCCCTCCAACAGAACCTGCTGCACGGAACACGGCTGGAAGTCCCCGCACCTTCGCATCCATGCTCTCCCAGGGCTGGTCCTAACCCACGGCTGAGCGCGGGGACACACTAGAGCTGCGCCACTGCTGCCCGGTGCAGGCCTCCGGTAGCCCGCACTCCACCCAGGGACGCCCCATCACCAGGCGGAGGTCGGACTCGGACCCAAGTTAGGAACCTCCTGCAGCCCCGCCCCCACACCTGGAGGTAGACGGCCAAGCCCCTCCCGTGGGAACCGGACGGGTGGACCCACCAGAGTTCCCAAGACATGCAAATTGGGCCCCGCCCCCTAGGTGAACGTGTTTTCCCAGACTCCTCTGCTTCTTACGTGGAGAAACCACAGCATGGGCGAGGATTGACAGCGCGCGCTCCCGACAGCCCGCGCCCCCGTCAGCCCACGCCCCCGTGAGCCCACGGCCCGCAACGGCTGTGTCCCCCGATATCTCGCGCCCGAGCGGGAAGCGAGGCCGGAGATGGAGGCCTGGGCGTCCTGCGCTGGGCACCGGAAGCCCGTGAGGAAGGCGCACGCCCGCCGGAAGTCGCGCCCCGACGCGGCCCGCCTG